TCTTTGCAAGCAGGGCACCCCTTAGAACTGTCTGTCCGGGGTGGGGGTCGGGACCCTTTAAGCGCAGCCCTCGGCTAGCCTGAGACAGCATCCCCATGCTCTAAGTCCTCCTCTGATGCCCTGCCGGCGCTGCTTCCGGCCATCCTTAAGCCCTGTTCAGAGTCCACTCAATGTGGACATGCTAGTTCCAATTAGCAAAACGCTAATTCGAACTAGTTTTTTAGTCTGGATCCGTTAGTTGGAATTAGCTTAGTTGGAATTAGCGCTGTAGTGTAGACATACCCTGAGGGACCTTCTGCAAGTAGCCAAGCTAGAGCTGCCGCTGTGCAACCCGGGCGTGAGCTGTGACGGAGGTTTGGTGCTGCTCCCGCCTTGGCCGATTCAGCTGCTGGCAGCCACGTGGGGCCAGGAGTGCTGGTGAGCCTTTTCCTATCGCTGCCGATTCTCAGCTGTGCCGTGTGCATGCACCAGGGAAGCGGGGCACCAGGCCAGCCCCCAGCGCCCGCTCCTGTTCTCTTGGCAGGTTCGCTCATGCTGGAGGCGGCCCTTCTCAAGAGCAAACAGCTTCTCTTCAGCCACCTCGAGGGCCCTGGGGTGCGGCGCCTGCGGGAGCCACGGGGTCTCTTTGCTGTGCCCATCTCGCAGGGCCCCCTGCAGGCCCCCCGCTGGCCCGTGGAGTGCGAAGTCATCGAGGAGCAAATCCAGCACATCGGTAACATACTCTGTGTGTGTCACTGCCCCTGTCGGGTGTGGGGCTGCCGGGGGCTTCCATCCAGACAGGGCGTTGGGAATCAGAGCCCTCTGTGGGTCACTGCCCCTGTCCCCTATGGGGCTGCCCTCCCAGTCACAGGCTAAAGCTCGAGCCCACGACCCTCGATCTTCCCTGTCCCCCGAATCTCCCTGTTTTCGGGATGCACCCACCCGGCAGGGGCTTGTAGCCAGAACGCTCCCCTGCCTTTGGCATTGCTCCGCTCCCCTGAACAGCTCGTCTGTTTGTTGCTTCTCTTATCTGGCCCCGCTCCGTTTTTCAGGCCCTGCCAGGGCACAGGTTGCCGGAGCGCTGTGCCTGCCTCCCTGCCAGCTGGTCGGATCTAGTGCACCAGAAGCCAGATTGCTTCTCCCCCATGTGTTGGATCATTCCCCATTGGCTTATGCTGGGCTCTGTGGCACAGGGAGGCTTGGAGAGCCAGGGCTAAGCCCCAGCATTACCCAGAATTCTCTGCCTCCGCAGCAGCCCATGTAGCACTCTCCCTGCACAGAACTTTCCAGCCAGCCCTTGGGGTCTCCTGTTCTTTTGGAGGACCCAGAGTGGGCGTTTCCCCTAGGGGAGTCTGGGGGAATGACACCAGGGAAGGGTCGTGCCTCTCTCTCTGTCACTACAGGGCACAGAGGCTTGAGAGCTCGCTTCCGGAGAAAGCTTTTCTGTTGCCATCTGACCCCCCTGCAGCCATAACAGAAGCCATTCCCCTGTCTCCGCAGAGTGGGTGCCGCCTGAACCGGAGCCCTTCTACCAGCCCACAGGAAATGAGCCGGTCCCACTAATTGTGGGGCAGGCGAAAGGAACCGTGGTCTATCGCATACGCCCAGGTATGTGCACCCCCTAGCACTGGCCGATAGCCTGGGCGTGGAATCTCTCAGGGCTTTCTGGTGCAGGGCTGAGACATGCCTGGCAGGCCTCCGAGAATGCTGGCTGCAATGGTTCAGCCCCAGAGCAGGACACAAGCTCCCCACCCTCTAGTGAAACCCTCGGGGCGCAGGAGCTGACGTTACTTTTGCCTGTGAATGCTCCATCCCCTCTGCATGGGGGCTCCACCCTTGCTCTGCTTCTTCCTGCCCCTGCTCTGCTCCTTCCCACGCAGCCCCCATACATACCTCTCTGCCCCTCCTCCCCATAGCACCTCCGGCCAGCCCCAGGCTCCCCCTGAACTGTGATCAGTAGCCAGCCCTGGGCCCCGGAACAGCTGCAACTGATGGGTGCTGAGCACCCTCTATTTTTTTCCATGGGTGCTTGAGCCCCGGAGCACCCATGGAGTCGACCCCTCTGCTCGCAGTCTTGCTCTGCGCTTCCGGTGACAGATCTGCAAAATTCCCATCTCCAGCTTATGCGTCATGCAAATAACTCAGGGCCAGAGCCAAAGGCCAGTCAAGCCAAAGCTGATCAGCCCAGGTGTTAATTGGGAAATTAACACTTTAATCAGCACTCCTGTGGGTACCTCTGTCTAGGGTGGAAATTACACCAGAGCCCATGCTGGTGGAGCTATGCCAGCATAGCCGCCAAGGAGAGAAATAGCCTACCCCGACAGAAGGAATATTTCTGCCAGTGTGGGGGCACCCCTGCCCCAAACGATGTTAGCTGTGTCAGCAGAAGCCCTCTTCCCCTGGCGTTGCTGCATCCCCACAGGGTGTTGTTGACACCGCTATGTCGGGCACCTAACTACGCCCGTGTCACTGAAGTGTGCACCAAGGTGCACCATGCCTAAGTGAAGCCACCTTTGCGCACTGGTCTGGCAGCTACTCAGCTCTCAACCTAGCGCTCCAGCGGGTCATGTCCACACCCAGCCCTTCGCGGAGCAGCGCCGCCCCTGGGGCTCTTAGCGCGTCTACACAGCCAGTAGAAACCCCGCAGCAGCAAGTCTCAGAACCTGGCTCACCTGACTAACCCCAAAGAGCCGTGGTTCTAAACCCTGCAGTGTAGACGTCCCCTCTTGGCTGGAGCTGGGCTCCAGGAGCCTCCCTCCTGGACAGGTTTCACAGCCTCGCTGTGGGATCCTCTACACTGCTGGGTTTAGAACCCTGGCATGAGCCCAACGCACTGGACCCGGGCTCTGAGTCTCGCCTCCGCGGCAGGTTCTTGCGCAGACGTGCCCCTGATGCAGACACTTCGGAACAGGGATGTTTCTGTGCCTGGTACGAAAGTCCCGTTTCCTGTGGCGCACGGGGCAGAGGCATGGAGCGCCGCTGGTGCGCAGGCCAAGGAGTGGAGGAGGGTGGTGCTGCTTGCCCACGCTCTGGCTCCATCCTGCTTCTGACGTGATACCAGCACCTCACCAGCCCGGCAGTGAGCACCAGCAGAAAGGCTGCGCCTCACGGCAGACAGACCCCTGGTCTGGGGCTTAGGACACGGGGCTCTGTTCACAGGCCTGCTGGGTGACCTCGGGCACATCGTGTTACAGCCCTGTGCCTCAGTTTCTCTGCTCCATGACTATTAGGAGTGCTCTCCAATCATGGCTTGGGGATTAGTCCAGGCTGCCCCCAGGGGAGGCAACGGGGGGGCTGTCGCATGGGGGCCTGAGGGTGAGGGGACATGAAGAGGAGGCCATAGGGGAAGCCAGAAGTTCAGCTGCAGTGGGGTATTTGCTTGGTAATGGGGGCAGCTTTGGGCACTTCCAGCACAGACGTTCCCTGCCTTGGACTGGCACCCAGAAATTTCCCCGCCCTGCGTTGGAGGGCAACAGGACTCCAAACACAGGCCAGGCTGCGAGGTGCAGGGGACGGGTGCAGCGCAGGCTGTAGGTGTGACACGGGCATCTCCTCTCCCGGCAGCGGCCAAAGGCTCCTATTTCACCTGCTCCCGCGTTGGAGGCGCACAAGGGCCCATCATGTCACGTGCCGTCAGCTTGGAAGGTCCAGAGGACATCACCCTGCTCTTTGAATCCAGGTTCGAGAGCGGGAACCTCCAGAAGGCCGTCCGAGTGTGAGTGAGAGGGCAGGGGGCAGAGGCCGTGGGGCTGTCCAAGGCAGGCAGGGCAGAGGGAGCTTTCCAGCTCAGCCAGGGTGCCCGGGGTAGGCTCTCCATGGAGGGCAGGCGAAGAGGGAGCTTGGGCGGCTGCGTTGGGTAGGACAGGGGCATGAGGGGACAGTGCCCCCAGTGGTTGCCTGCTGCATTGCTGGGAGGAGCTTTGGCAGCTGGGCCGAGGGAACAGCTACAGGGCTTGACTGGCCAGGCCTGAGCCTGGGGATCCCCTCTCCCGCAGCCTCGGAGGGAAGGAGGGGAGGCTGCACTGTGATGGCTGCTGGATTCTCTGCCCCCACCCAGGTTAGAGCAGCCAAGAAGTTGCTCTACTCTCTGCCAGCTGGTAATGGCTCCAACACCTCTGCCTCCATGTCCTGTGGGAAGGGAAGCTCATGCACTGACTGAGGCAGGGAAACACAGCAGGCGGTGGAGTCTTTATGGCTGTACCATGCTGCGGACTCCCCCAGGGACAGGCGTCGGATTGCCGGGCACAGGTGAAGCTGGTATTTCCTAATGGCCTATTGCCGGACTTGCCATTTAAAGATCATCCTTTTAACGAGGCTTTTGGCATGTCATTGCATGTAACGGAACAAAGGCCTATTCCCCGCACAGACCTGCGCACTGGAGGGGGATCTACGGCCTACACAAAGAAAAGTTGGAGAGAAACCTCTGTCCTCGTGCTGGCGGGTTGCGACATGACGTGACTTTATTGCTAGAACGCAGAATGTTAACACCCAAAAGCAGAGAGAGACCAAGCAGGCTGCTCCCTCCCTCTTCCTTGCTGCAGGCTGGATCTCTGCTGACTGCCAGTCTGCACACTTCCCTACAGCTTCCCCTCGCCTGCAAGCAGGGCCGGGCAACTCCCTGAAATTGAGTGTAATAGCGTATAACTGTGACACTGTTTTCACTGCCCCACTGGCCTAACTAGGGAATCCAGCTGGAGTCCAAGTATCTAGAGCCCCTCCAGACGAGCCCACTAGCTGGCAGCTGATGTGCACAGAGCAGGCCTATCTGTGGCCTTTCCTGCGCTCCGCAGGCAGAAGCTGCTCCGGGTGTCTCAGAGTTTCTCTTTGCTCCTTGCAGAGGCCCGTACGAGTACGAGCTGACGCTGCGCACGGACCTGTACACCAGCAAGCACACCCAGTGGTTCTACTTCCAGGTCAGGAACACCAGGAGCGACGTCACCTACCGCTTCTCCATTGTCAACCTGATGAAGCCCAAGAGCCTGTACAGCATGGGGATGAAGCCGCTCCTGTACTCGGAGCGGGACGCGCAGGAGCACGGGGTGGGCTGGCGGAGAGAGGGGAGCGACATCCGGTACTTCCGGTGCAGCTCCGAGGAGGGCCAGGCCTTGTACTGCCTGACGTGGACGGCGCGCTTCCCCCACGACCACGACACCTGCTACTTTGCCCACTTTTACCCCTACACCTTCTCAGACCTGCAGCGCTACCTGCTGGCACTGACCAGCGACCCGGTCCGCTCACAGTACTGCAAGCTGCGCGTCCTGTGTAGCAGCCTCGCCGGCAACACCGTCTACCTCCTCACCATCACTAGCCCATCCCGCAACCCCGCCGCCATGGCCGCCAAGAGGGCTGTGGTGCTGAGCGCCAGGGTGCACCCCGGGGAGACCAACGGCTCGTGGGTGATGAGGGGCTTCCTGGACTTCATCCTGAGCGACTCTCCCGATGCTCAGCTCCTCCGCGAGCTCTTCATCTTCAAGGTGGTGCCCATGCTCAATCCAGACGGGGTGATCGTGGGGAACTACCGCTGCTCGCTGGCCGGCAGAGATCTCAACCGCAACTATCAGACCATCCTGAAGGAGTCCTTCCCCTGCATCTGGCACACCCGGAGCATGATCCAGAGGTGAGCTGCAGGGCGCTGCGCTCATTGGCCTCAGCGGGTAGCGGGGAGCAGCTACGCCACCTCTGACCAGTGCCTACACTGAGCCCTGGTCTACATGAGGACGTTATTTCAAAATAACTCCCCTTGGGTTGAATTTATAAGTGGAGCGTCCACACCACCAAGCCCATTAGTTCGAAATAACGGGCCGCTTATTGCGAAATCTGCACTCCTGCTTTTCCTGGGGAATAACGCTTGTTTTGAAATGGTTATTTTGAAATAGTGTTAGCGGCACCAGAGCATCCACACTATTTCAAAATAATGACTCCCCAGAGTAATTGGAACTAATTACTGCCCACTGCTTCCTGGGGCTCTAAGTCGAGGTAGCGCATCCACATTCACGGAGCCTGCCTCGGTCTGATTTCAAGGCTTCCCTGTAGTGGGGACACGCTATTTCAGTTTTGTACAATCAGGAGTTCTTAAGTTGGATTTAGTTAGTTCAGAATAATTTCCTAGTGGAGACATGCCCTGAGATTGCCCAGTTAGGACCAAACTGCAAAGAATGGGGCAGACGATCTCCTAAACTGGTGGTTATTTCTTAGACATCAATTCACCCAGCCAGCAATAAAACAGCTTTCACAATGCCTTACCCAGAGCCAGTCCTAGGGGCAGGTGAGCCAGGGGGTTGCCCAAGGCCGCCATTTTCAAGGGCCACCGATAGAACTGGTCTTAAGGGTAGGCCGCGACCACGTTTCGCCTGCCCTCCTGAACCCTCCCCCCGGGTTTCCTGGTTATTCTCCATCACTTTTTTTTTTTCCTTTGCTTGACAAATTTTCGTCAGGTATATTTTTTTTAACCATCTGGCAACCCTACGGGCGAGCCGGATGGTCACTCGGGGCCACCAATTGGTTAGGACCAGCCCTGATCTTACCAGTTACCCAGAAGCCAAACCACAGTTCCTGTAAAGCAGGGTTGGGGAACCTCAGGCCTGGGGACTGGATGCAGCCCCTGGCTTGCCTAGATCCAGCCCCCAAGGCTCAGGGCCCTCACCAGCATTGGAGAGCCCACACTGGCACTCCAGCACCCCTACTGTCCTATTGCAGGGCAGGAGTGTGCAAAATCTACTAGGCTGGGCCCCCCATGGCTCTAGTGCAGTGTTTCTTACACTTTTTAAGACCAAACAACACCAAACAATTTTTTTATGAGGAACTCCAAGGATTTTTTGTTGGGGGGGGGGGGGTTTACAGAGCAAAAAAAAAAAGTTTGCCTGCCCTTTTAAGGGCAGCCATTTTGAACTCTGTTGTTCTCCGTGGCACACCTCCGACTGCCACGGAACACAATTTAAGAAACACTGCTCTAGTGTGTGAGGGGAATGCTGGAGTGTCTTTCTCCTTTTCCGTCAGGGGTCACATCAGTGACGGGTGGTTTTTTTGGTTTGTATTTTTTTTTTCTTTTCACTTGTGTGCAGCCCCTGACTGATGTTTCTGTGGGTGAGAGGGTGCCAACCCAAAAATGGTTCCCCAGCCTTGTTTTAAAGCAACCCAGCATTGGACTCCCACACAGACAGCCACGTCAAATACGATGGGGGCTACTGAAAATCTTGTTTGTCATAAAAAACGTTCTGCTGATCCCAAAGAATGGGACGCATGACTCACCAGGTTCATGAATGCTTCAGAGTTTGCCCAAACACATGCTTATAGGCAATTCTTATTAACTAAACTAAAATGTATTAAAAAAGAAGAGAGCGAGAGAAGTAGTTAAAAGATCATTATGCATACAGACCTGAATATAGTTCTCAGGTCAGTTTCACAGTAGAGATGGTGAGTTTCAGAGTGAACTTTAGAGGTGCAAAAAGTTCTTTCAGAATTAGTCCCTAAATTACAGTCCAGGATCAGGTGATCCAGACAGGACTGGATCTCAGTCTTGCAACTCGAACTTCCCCGATGAAGATTAAGCAGCTCTGACATGAAAGGATCCGAGAGTTTGAATATATCCCAGGGTGGGTACTGCCAGCCTCTTGACAGCAGTGACAGTGAAGTGTCTGTGAATGAACCTCCTATTTAATCTCCCTGTCAGTAATACATCCTTAGGCAGGAACTTAGGGTTACAATGGCAACCTCTAACAATACATATGTAACCACACAAACCCCACAACCATTCTCTGTGAATGGGTCAGTTAGCCCTTTCTGGCCTGGGTCAAACCACCACAGGGGGAGAGGCAGTGTGGCCTAGTGGTAGAGCACTGGAGTGGGTTCTAACCCCGGTTCTCTCACTAGCCTGTTGACTATCCCTGGGTAAGTCATGTCCTCGCTCTATGCCTCAGTTGCTCCCTCTGTAAAATGGGGCTAATGATCCTGACATCCCACCCCTTGGTAAAACACTTTGGCTGTGTCTACATTGGCACCCTTTTCTGGAAAAGGGATGCTAATGAGACCAGTCGGAATTGCAAATGCCCCGTGGATTTAAATTTTCCCTGCGGCATTTGCATGAACATGGCTGCCGCTTTTTTCCGGCTCGGGGCTTTGCTGGTAAAAAGCGCCAGTCAGGACAGGGATCTTGCAGAAAATAAACCCTTTTCTGGAAGATCCCTTATTCCTACTTAAAACCAATTTCTATTTTTTAGAAAGAGAGTGCTGCCTAGTGGCTAAAGCGTTGGTCTGGGACTCAGGTGACCAGCAGGGTCTATTCTTGGCTCTGCCTCTGGTTAGCCATGTCTCCTCTCTGTGCCTCAGTTTTCCCATAGGTAAAAGAGGAATAATGAGACTGACCTGGTTTGCCAAGTGCTTTGAGATCGTCTGACGAAAAGTGTTGGATAAAAACTAGGCATTATTATTAATTGTTGTATTTCCCAGAGTCTCCTCTAACCTCTAAGTTTCTCTCCTCCTCTCCTCAGTGACACTGAGGTTTCGCAAAGAGTGCCACTTCATTTTTGCATTACCCATTGATAACTGCTAAAATGTCCTTTAAGCCTGAATTTACAGTCCGGTGTCATGTTCCATTTTGCACCCATTCGTCCAGTTTTGTTAAAAGCCCCCATACAAGTATCACACCTTTGCTAATATATTTATTTCACCTCTTTGTAACTTTAGCGAGTGCTTCCTGAATTGACCTTGCTCTCACAAACGCTTTGAACAGAGAGAAAGCAGGCTTTGATTGTTAGTTGATTAGCTTTAAATGTCTAGTATTTCTAATCTGAAATGCATGATTAGGCTAAGGATGAAAGATGGCACTAGAACAGGATTAATGTTTCTTATCCAGTGTAAAGACTAGCAAGAGGCTACTACTTCAAGGTAGCTGCTTCTGCAGTAGTTTGGGCAGGTAGTTTGCAACTGTTAATCAATGTAAGTCTCTGCTTGAGATTCATTAGTATGCACTATATGTAATGTCATGCTGCACTGAACAGCTCCTTAGCCCATGCCCTGTCCGCCCGAGGGAGCTGGTTTCTAACTGCAGTGTAGACACACTCTGACTCCTGAAGCAGGGCTCTCTCTCCCTGCGTCTTCGCAGCTCAAAACTGGCTGTGTACAATGTCTGCCAGAATAATCCGTCTCTGGGCAGAGCCCAGGCCTGGGAAGAGTCACTCCAGCTATGTCTACACTTGCACCCTCTTTCGAGAGAGGGATGCAACTGAAGACATTCGAAATTGTAAATGAAGCCGGGATTTAAATATCCCGCACTTCATTTGCATATTCGTGTTATGGCGCTATTTCAAAATAGCACTATTTAGAAATAACAGACGCTGTTAAGACGCGGTTATTTCGAGAGAAAACCGTCCTCTCGAAATGACTGGTAAACCTCATTGTATGAGGAATAAGGGTTATTTTGAGAGAAGGGTTTGCTTTCAAAATAACTGCGTCTAGACTGCGTTTCTTTTTTCAAAATAGCACTATTTCGAAATAGCGCCAGAACGCGATTATGCAAATGAAGCACAAGATATTTAAATCCTGGCTTCACGTGCAGTTTCGATTGTCTTCATTTGCATTCCTCTCTCCAAAGAGATGTAGCCCTGTGGCGGTAGGAATGGAGTGTTAGTTTCCCCCGGAGGCAAGTAGGAGTCCAGTCTAGGGGCTGTATCCCACCCTGTTCATTTGTAAACCTGTGTGACTGCCTGGGGGTTTCCTCCCTCGTGCAGAGTCCTGGAGGAGCGGGAGGTCCTGCTGTACTGTGACTTCCACGGCCACAGCCGCAAGAACAACGTCTTCATGTACGGCTGCAACAACAAGAGCTCGCCTGCCCAGCGGCTCCACGAGCGCGTCTTCCCGCTCATGCTCAGCAAGAACGCCCCTGACAAGGTGGGCGAGGGAGGGTGCCAGGAAGGGAAGGGGCCCCCCAGCATCCAAGCCCAAGGGTTGGTCCTGCTTTGGGCAGGGGGCTGGCCTCGATGACCCCCTGAGGTCTCTTCCAGCCGTAGGATCCTATGAGGAGACGCATCGTCTCTGTTCTTGGAGCCCCTCATTGGCCCCCGCGGGCTGAGTGGGGTCCTGGCTGCGAGGCTGCATCTCTGCAGCTGAGTCCCAGTCTCTCTGAGCCAGTGAGCCAGCTGTGGAGGAGGTGGGGGGAATCCCACCATGAAGCCAGGGAGGGTTTGCTCTCTTCTGGGGCATAGCAGAGCTGCACGTGGGCTGCGGCTGCCCCAGAGCAGGGGGCTGGAGGGACCTAAGGCCAGGACTGCCGTGGTCACCCCATTACCATTGTATGTACAGCCAGGGACTGACTGGGCACTGGGGGTGGGGCGAAAGCGGCACGGGCAACCTGAACTCGCATTTCCCACCCTTAGAGTTGGTCTTTGCAACACGAAATCCGCTCCGAGCAGGGAGAGCCGAGCCCCATTGGCAGCAGGGGCCAAGCTCCCTGGGCTTTGTAGAGCCAGGCCCCTCCCCCCCAGCATTTCTGTGTGAGCTGTTGGTGGGTGCAGGCAAACCTGAGGTTCCCAAGCCCCCTGCCAACCTCCGGCTTTCAGCTGGGGGTCGTTTTTCCAAGCGTTAGCTGTTGGGGTGGGCGCTTGGCCTGGCAGGCCTCTGTCTGGAGCGGCACCTTTGGGATTGTTTCAGCAAAACCTGCGGAGCCAGCTCCAAGCATGAGCTGAGGGACAAAGCTGAGCTAAGTGGCCAGGCTGACAGGCAGGAGCCACTGGAGTCACTTCCCCCGCCTGCTCGTGCCGGGCAGCCGGAGGGCGCAGGAATTAGAAGAAACAGAAGGGCGCTGAGCAAGGAGAGAGGAAGCTGACTAGCATCCGCCTAGGAAAGGGGATGAGCCCCTGGCTGGGATATGGGGAGACCTGCAGATGGGGGGGGGTGTTGGGGGCAATCCCGACCCCGCGCTGACCCCCTGGGGTGCTGCAGTTTTCTTTCCACAGCTGTAAGTTTAAGGTGCAAAAGAGCAAAGAAGGGACGGGACGGATTGTCATGTGGAGGATGGGTATCCCCAACAGCTACACCATGGAGTCTACCTTCAGCGGCTCCACTCTGGGTAAGAGCAGCGCCACTGCTGGGCCGGGAGGGAGCTGGGGTGCCGAGAGACAAGAGTTTAAGGCTGTTTCCTGCCCTATGGATCACCCGCTGGGAGCTCAGCTGGGTTGGCACCACCAGGGCCGCTGGGCTGGTGCCAGCCTCCAAGTTGGTGCTTGGACCCCACCGGGCCTGTTGCTCCACAAACCCGTGGGCACGCTGCCTCCACCAGCTGCCTCCTCCTGCCCCCAGGGTGTGGGCGCAGTCTGGGCCGCGGGGGAGGCGGGAGCTGGAGAGTAGGCCTGGGCCTGGCAGCTGGGCTGTCCAGCAGCACCGGAGCAGGGGCAGTGCAGAGGGCCAGAGGGAGGCGCTGTAGCTCAGGGGAGCCTGCCAGGAGGATGAAGGAGGCCAGGCAGGCACTCGGCGGTGCAGGGGGCAGTTTGTGAGTCACCAGCAGAGGGATGGGGATGGAGCCCTGCAGAAAGGGAGCGCGGGGAGACAAAGAGGGGCCCAGGAGCTGTGTAGGGTTCCTCCCTCCCGTGGTCCAGGCACCCCCTTCTGGCAAGATGGGGGAGTTGGGCAGGTCAGTCGGCAATTTGTCGGGGTGGCCTGTCCAGCAGCAGCCCAGTGAGCACTTCCCGCCCCTACGGGCCCCGGCAAACCGCCCACCGCCGGCTGTCCCGGCGCCCTGGTTGGGGCACTGAAACAGGCAGTGGCCGCAGGCAATCTGGAGCATGGGCTGAGCAAGGAAGCAGTCGGTGACTCAGGCCTATTGCTTTGTGCCTGGCCATTTCCCAAGGAGGGGGAAGCCAGGCCCACCTTGCTGCACCAGGTCCTAGCAGGGAAATGCGGAGCTCTACCTGCTTTCCCTGCCTGCTTCCTCCCAGCTGCCCTTCCCCCCACTACATCCTGCTGGGAGGATGAGGGGGGTCAGCTGTGCTTCCCAAGACAATTAACCCCCTCTTGCACTGTGGGGAGGCCCCTCGGCCTTGCAACAGGCAGGGGAGTCAAGGGCAGCCCCACAGGTGGGGGGAGAAGTAGGAGGGCAGAACCTGGAATGCCACACGGGGCAAGATGGGCAGGGGGTGGGGTGGGGGATGCTGTGGAAATGGAGGATGGGGTGCAGCTCGGCCTGAGATTGGTGGGAGCAGATTGGGGAAGGCCGGAGGGGGGAGGTGGGATGCAGATGTGGGGCTGAGAAGGAAGAGCTAGGGGAGCAACGTGTTTGAACTGGGAGGGGAAGCAGTGGGGGCAGGACACAGGGAGGTTAGTGGGGGCAGGAGGTGGGGTCAAGCAGGCTGTGGGGCTCTGTGCCAATGACCAAGGAGAGGGAGGAGAGGAGGCGCAGGCCTTAGCGTGCTGTGTCCGTCTTCACTTCAAAAGCTGGCCCGTGACTCAGCCAGCGCTGTGGAAGCAGCGGGGTCAGTCGCCACGTGGAACACAGTGTGGAAAGCTGGTTAGCCCAGAGAATAGACAGTTACCGCTTGGTCCTGTCTCGTTAGCCAGCTCCCAGCCATGCTGTGTGAGCCCCTTGGCTCCCCCTCTGTGCTCCTCTGTCCCACCTCCCTGGCTGGCCCGCCCCCGCCCTCTGCTCCCAGCTGGCGGGGGGGGGGGCCCGCCCGGG